TCTAATTGTAACTTCAATATTACACTTAATATTATCACTTCAATATTATCATGTAAAATTTATTAACAATATGTAATTCATACAATTGAAAATTTAATTGACTATACCGGCAATGATTATAATCGTTGTGACAAATCGTCACCGAATTTTGACAAAGGATTCTGGTCATTCTAAAGTTGATGTAATTTTAGACGGTTATAATATAAGCATCTTAATTAAATAATTACATTTATTGCGAAAAATATTACCTCAGCCAGGGTAATTAAAATGTTTATATTATAAGTATCTAAAATTACATCAACTTTAGAATAACCAAAATCCTTGGTCGAAATTCGGTGACGATTTGTCACGACGATTATAATCGTTATCACGATTATAATCATTGCCAGTATGGTCAATTAAATTCTCAATTGTGTTAATTATTGACTGGCGAAGTAAATGTTACTTATTCGATACATAATTTATTTTCCTAATCGCTAATATCTGTTTTTTGTTCCTTATATTTTTGATTCTGCAAATTCTTTGGCAGCTTCTGAAACAAAATCAATCATAGAAGAATATTAAAAATAAAGAAGTAAGTATATTATAAATAAAGAATATTATAATAAATGAATTGAGAGAGACCAGCGTTCATTTTCATAAACAAGTATTTGTCTTGCGACTTACCTGATGGACACGTCTTAAGGGACAATATTGATAACTGCTTTTTCCTGCCTTCTTTACTGGCTTTATAACGCTCGAGGAACTCTTTGGCAGCTTTTGAAACAAAATCAGTCTCTGTCACATCTAATGCCGCATCAACTCTCATTCGATAGAAAAAGCTCCTGTCAATTTACAGATTGCTTGTTTCGGAGCTGAGTTCATAACGTGATTTATTTATTAATTCGATAATTCATTTATTTATTTTATCATTAAATAATAATTAATTTATGTATTAATAATTAATGATAGAATAAATAAATAAATTATTGAATTAATAAATAAATCACGTTATGAACTCAGCTCCCGAATAAGCGATTTGTAAACTGATATGATTTTTGAGTAAATTAATTAATTAATTAATTAATCAAATTAGAATCAAAGTTATACGTAAATATATATATCAGCCGGGATTTAGTTGCACATTTCGGGCCGATTCCCGAGGCGACGCCTCCTATACCCCCACTACCGCTCGAGGCTCAGCGGCCAAGCCGCCGATCGCTCACGTGACGCGTCATCTCAGGAGCGTCGCGCGTGCTATGCATGATGCAACTGTAATCTCCCCCGAATAATATTAAATAGCTAGTTAGAACAGTTTTTATTTCAATAATTAATAATTGAACATTTTTATATTATTATTATTATTATTATTATTAATATTCTATACATATTGTTGCTATTAAATTACATATTTAAATCAAGCCTGTAATAATTATATAACATTTTATTTGGAACTCTTAGTTTGTGTGCTACACTTATAACAATATTACATAATAATCCCTTTATTTTCGCAATATATATAGAATATAATTGATTAAAAAATCAGTAAGCGTGGTGTGTGTAGAAATATGTAGATACTATATATAATTATT